GAAATGACTAAGAATGTATTGCATACATAAAACAATTATTTAACAGTAAGACTTTACTATTAATAAACTGTGCAATAAACAATTTTATTCCTCCAACTATGAAGTATTTGTTTCTGGGCATCCAAATTTTCATAGACCTTGAAGAAAGTAGGCATTGTTGCTGTAAATATCATCCTAAAATAATTTGTTTTCCTTCAAAAATCTCTGCCATATTGACTTTACATACCACACACACACACAAAAACTGGAAATAATCCAAATGTCTAACAACAGGTGTATATCATACATCAGAGTACCATACAGTGTTTAAAAAGAAAACTAGATCTACATTGTTAACATGAACAAATCTTCAAAATAAATGTGTGAAAAATGCAAGCTGCAGAATACATGTAAGAGTATGATACCAATTGTGTAAAGTTTAAAAACACACAAAAGACTACATATTATTTATGGATACATACATATGCAGAAAAGGTATAAAAGCATGTACAGAAAGAATACACATCAACTTCAGAATAGTGGTTACCTATGAGGAGGATGGAGAATGGATAGAATGGGATGGATACATAGAGGCTTTAAACTCTATCCATAATGTTCAACATTACAAAAAGATTTGAAACAGTATGATATAATGTTAACATTGTTAAATCTGGTGGTGTTACAGACACCAATTATATTATTCTCTGTACTTTCCGATTTTGAGATATTTCATAATAAAAATAAAAACATTTACAGAAAAAAAAGGTTGAATCACTACTACCATTTTCAGATTAATTAGGCATGCTAAAACACAGCACAGGTTTTCTTTCCCAAATAAGACAATAAATATTAACAGAAAATGTTACATAATTGGCAATGTACACTTTCATAAAGTATCCATTGATTACTATATTTAAAAAAAATACAATAATTAAAAACGCTTCTACTTCAAAACTTCTACCTTTACTTGAGTCAAAGGATCTAATTTCACACCACAAATAGGCTTTCCTTGCTTTAAAGAGTATCCCTTTGAATTTTCTTTTATGCCATTCCTTTAAGCGTGATTCAGAATAAAAGATTTAGAGTACAGCGTACAGAAGAGATCTGGCTAACTACAGTTAGATAAGACTAATGAATACATTGTATTCTAACATAAACTAACAGTGGCTCAATTCAAAGGTCATAATAAATTATTGCCAGCACAAAAAACTTTCACTTTTCAGTCTGAAACTTTTAACCTGCAAAGAAAATACACATGGTCTGTAACTTTGTTTACTGAACATGTTTTTTCTTGTCAGGAAAGCTTTCCCATCTTTGTCAGATTAATACTTCTTGATCACAGATGAAGTCTTTCAAATTAAAGATAAACAACTACTTGCCTGTTGTTTCTGATATGCAGTGTTTGGATTTATCTTTGATTCCAAGAGTAGTGATCCTGAAAGATAAAAAAAATAATATATTGTAAATCTCAAATGATAAAACCCTGAATAAAAATATACATTAAAAAAACCACCGAACTTTTCATGTCTCTTCAGCCAGACATCTGAAGTAATAAAATGTATTCCAATTCACATTTTCTTTCCAGGTGTACGCTTCTTACTTAATTTAGAATATTTCATTCTATTCCGATAAACCTTTAAAGAAGAAAATTCACCTAAAACCAACATTCAGACCATGAAGATGAGAACAGATGACTATTAAATTTTACTGAAATGAAAATTTTAAGGTCTAAATGACTACTTGAAGCCATCTTTTTAATAAAGGTTTATTGCATTCCCAGTTTAACAAATAAAACACATTACAAAGAACCCCCCATGACAGGGATCTAAATACTTAGTACACAAATTACAGTGCTGCATTTATCCTTTTCTCATTAAGAACAAAAGAATACCTTATGTAAGAATAAATGCCTGTGACTATTTAAAATAAAAGAGAAAGTGCAAGAATACAAAATATGCCAAGAATAAAGGTGGTTATTTTTCTATTAGCTGCACATATCAGTTGCTCAAATCGAGACATTTAGGTGACACTGTAAAAAGTGTTTTAATTACGACTCTACATTTTATAGTTTTAAAATATTTTACAATAAAACAACAAATACGAGTTCACAATCTGCTTTGGTGTCCTAACTTGCTCAGACTCTAAGGTATTCACTTTTTCATAGCACCTTCTACAAAGGCAGCCTGGAGGGATCCCAGACTAAAGATGTATGTGCTTGTGCGTACATGTATCGTGGCAACAGTCAGCAATAACTCCAGGAAAAGGTGCCTTTTGGTTTTCCCTAGCACCTGTCGACCGTAGCAACCGGGGCCCTCAGGGAAAATACAGTGAGAAAGGACACTCAGAAAAGTTTCACTAAATCTTTAGTATTAGACGAATAATGGGTGAGAAAATAAATAAAGGGGGAGGGGATGTTAGCTTCCTAGAGTGAGCAGTCACTACGTAGTCTCTCCCTACTTCCTCCGTCTCTCTCACACCCTCCCCTCTTCAAAAGGAGGAACTGGAGAGGAAGGAGTCAAATCCTTAACAGGCATGGGAGGCGGGGAACAGAATCTGCTTCACACAGAGGGTAAACCCGGACAGTTTGTTTTTACCGTAGATAAGAGCAAGCTCAAGACCAATGCGCTGTCCCAAGAGGTGGTAGTAACAGTAACCGGGCCCAAGGCCTGAACCCCAGGCTGTGCCCCAATCAGACGCACTGTCCCCTATCCTACCGTTCCAATAACCTTACCGTCAGACTCTGCCCGAACCAGGAGCGACATCCCTTTGAGCTCCTCCACATAAGTGGAGGAGACATGCCCAGTGCCTCGGTCGTCCCATTGCCGGTCTTCGTTCAGGGTATAGACCTTTACTCGCCGCCGCGTATCCGACATGGTGGCTACTGTCCCCTCTGCTCCAGCCGCCGCCTCCTCGCTCACCTCGTCCACTCCCCTCACTCCTGAGAGACGGTAGCGGCGGTGGTGGCGGTGGCGGTGGCGGCGGCGGCTGCGGCTCCGAAGAGGCCCGAGTTCACCATGGCTCCAAAGGTTCAGCCACGAGAAAAGATGACAAAAGCCACCGAGACACCCCCGCCCGGAGCCCCTGTTACCTCTCACTTCACTCCCGCATACACCCACCCCCCTCCTCCCTTTCCCCCCTAGAGCTCGCTCGCTCTCCCGCTGCCGCCACCGCCGCCGCGGTAACTACTACAGGTCCGCCATCTTGTAACCCGACTCTCTCTGCCTTTCTCTTCCTCCTCCAGCAGGCTCACACGGGCTGTCCTAGCAGGGGCTACGGCGGCCGACGGGCCCAACGAACAGACCTCCGCTTCTGCACGCGCTTCACAGGCCGCAATGCTCGGCACTCTCGCGAGGAGGGGTACGCGACTCAGATGGGAGGGCCTAAGTGGGACTTCCTCCTCTCTCGGCCCCGCCTCCTAACCCGGGATCTCGGTGGAGCGGAAGGTTCTCGCGATTTGCCCGTCTCCGCTTGCGTCAGGAGACGCTTCTCTGTGGAAGATCGCAGCAGAGTCGCGGTAGGGGTTTCGCTGGGTCGCTGCTGGCGTCTGGCGTGTGACGTGTGCCAGGACTCAGCTCTGAAGACAAAGCAAACCGGGGAAGTACGCAGCCTTGAACGAGACTAAGCAGGAGCAAAATTTGTTGCATTCCTTAATGGCAGGCTTACCGTGTCAGCCAATAAGGGGGTGGGGGAGTTTAAACCTCTGTCTGTAAAGACGAAGGAATGTTGAGTCTTTTCAGCTGAATCGAAATCCACTAAAACTTGCTATAGAATCTGTTAGAATTAAACAGCTGCTCAGGAAGTGTCTGGACGCTAAAATCTCCAGGCGATTTTACTGTCATACAAAAGTCTGTTGACAATTTCCTAATTTCCTATTTCCCGCCAAACCGTTTCACCGTCTGGCTCTTAGTAGCTGGCCATTGAAAAGCATACTCTTCGCTTCGGGAGAATACAGTGCTCTTACCGTGTTTGCAACCTCAGAAAATCTGCAGATAAGTTTAGGGAAGCGGCGGAGAGCTACCTTCCTAATACATCTACGAGCATCGTATTGATATTTTAGTTTCTTGAGGGCATTTCCTGCATTATCTATAGACAGGTCTTGTGCACTGAATAACCGAAGGAAGAATTCTCTCGGCATTCACGCTAATTGTCACACATTGTGCAGTGGATACGAGTCACGCGCTGGGCATAGTAGCGTTGTCTGTCGTTTATTTCAATCTACGTTCGTTCTTGGGAGAATCTCTTTATTCGTTCTTTAATACAAGCTCAGCTTGTTCAGCCGTCAGTCCTGTACAACCCAGTAGCCTGAAAAGTGAAAACCGGGCGAGGTGCGCACGTTGACCCTGCAGTGCACCTTGGGAGTTGTAGTCACAACTTATCAATGGTCTTGTCAAAACGTGTTTATGTTTTGACTAGACGGCTTATGTGTGGACACCCTTCAGCAGTACACTAAAACACGTGACGGTGTCTTACACAGAGCAGGCGCCTGATGAAAAATATAATACATTCTAATTAAAAAAATGGATTCATAGTTTATTTTAATCTACAGGGGACCTCAGAAAATGAGTTAAGTCATTATAATAATACATAAAAATACAGCCCAATAATTGCTGTGATTGACGTGGACAAAATGCATTTTGAGCCCAGAGAATAGAACATTTCTGTCTTGGAAGTTGTACACCCTGGCCTTCTGGGCTCAAGCTCTGCCTCAGCCTCCAGAGTAGCTGGGACTACAGGTGCGTGCCACCACGCATACATAAAGGTATCTTATTATTAAAAATCGGTCAAATTAGCTCCCTCAACTTATAATATCTGGTAACCGTTCTGAGGAGATAGGTACTGGCTTTGAAAATGGCATGTTCCAGTTTGTGAGCCGTAAGATGACTAAGGGTATATTGTCACTAGTGTATATAAAGAAAAAAAAAGATCTATAGGAAGAGATCCATTATAATAGCATATATAATTTATTATTTCTAAGTTTTTCAGATGTTTCAGAATTATAGAAACAACAGGGTAATCTTTCCTAAGATGTATAAATGATTTACTTTTAATAATAAATATTTATTGATTTGTAATGTAAATAAGATTAAAAGAATATGAGTTGCTCTTGAAACAAAAAATGGCACGTGTAAATGAGCATTTTAATACAAATAATTAGAATATATTTATACTATGTATAAATCTACACATCAGAAGATACTAAAATTTTTCTCTACAGCATATCACCCTAGAATTCTCTTTAAAAAAATCACTAGGAAGAATTAGATGATGTCTGTGAAATAGGTTCTCCCATAACAATACTGCTTCTGTCATTTAAAGTTTTGACAACAGTTGTAGCTGGAGACTGAAGCACTTTACGAGAAAGCCTCATTCTTCCATCCGCTGGATCACGTCCGAAGTATTTCACCTGTGTCAAAGAAATAGATCTACTTTTAAAGTCATAGCACATTGAGTGACATCCAAATTAAGACACTTAAATTTACATGGACCAGACAGGCAATGATTGTTTTTACTTATTCGCTGAAAGCACAGCTTAGTGCTAAGTGGAGGTATACACTTAATATTTATAATTTGGTTAAGTAATTATTATAAAAAAAGAGGGGCATTTAGTTGTCCAATTATAATCTGTTAAACTCATCTGTGCCTTTTTATTCTCTCCAGGCCAAGTCCTATATTGGAAGAACAGTCAAAGCCATGGGGAATGACTCTAGACAAGGGCTTTTTGAGCCTAACTGTGCTACAAATTATACAAGATTATGCTTAGGTCACTCAGATATTCACTACTGCTCAAAAACCCATCACATTAGTGTTTATTTGGCTTCACCTTGAAAAATGAAAAGTCAGGGGAAACGTGGTAGGTTTAAAGTCCTTTCTGATGTTTAAAAAACAAACAAAAACACAAAAAAACCTTATGCAGTCTTAGTTCTCATTTTTCCCTGGAGGCTACTTGAACAATGGGACTATGGACTGGGAATAAACTAGAAGCCTTAGTTACCCAGGTCATGAGTATTAGGTATAACTGGAACAGAATGTGGTGCAGCCAAAGAAACCCAGATTGGCAATGACTTCTTTTCATCCACTCATAAAGGACTACAAAAAAAAGATCAATTTCATTATCAGAATTCCAGGCCTGAACATGGCTCACAGCAAATTCAAAAACGTTCAGCCTCAAGTAGTGGAGAAACAAAGTCTTGACTCCTCAAAGATAAAATTCAAAGTCTTCAGTAAAGTTAAATTACCAGACTTCTCATGTCTGTCTGCAAATCACTGAGTCTGCAAAGCCAACCCCGACCTATACAAGAATTTTTTTCTTTTTCTTTTTTTTTCCTGTTCATGTATTTTTTAAAAGCTCTGAAGATGACTGCTGTTTTACCTGAACTGTAAGCTACGTGAGGGAAAGAATCGTGTCTTAAATCCTTTATGAGTCTGTTTAAGCAATCATGAGGTTAAAAAAGAAGCACTGAGCAGGGTGCTGTGGCATAGCAGTCCCAGCTACTTGGGAGGCTGAGGTTGGGGGATTATTTGAGCCAGGAGTTTGAGGCCTGGGCAACATAGTGAGAAAAAAATGCATATAAATAATATACATCATAGATGTTGATTCTATTCTTTCAACTTACTTTTTGAAAAAAATAATTGAAACTTCAAGTACAACTAACAACTTTAAGGCTAAAGGGTTGAACACAGACAGGTACCTGAATTTCTTGGCCAACTTCTAATCCCAGGGCAGTGGGGTGTTTAATCTGAAAGAAAACATAATGTATTAGTTGATGTACATAATTACCTAATGTCCATGGAAGTACAGATTTTTCCCTAAGTGGAAAACAGCTTTATTGATTTTTCTGTTTGTAAAATCTGTTAATTACAAAGATTTAAAACATATATTCAGAAGAATGTAAAAATTATCCAAAACCCCTCTACTTGAGATAACTACTATTAACACTTCAATGAGTATCCCTTCAAATTTCTATTTAGTAAGTTTATATTGCATTTATAAAAGTGGACCTCTCGGTGCTTTCTGTTTTATAATTTGCTCATTTTTCATTCAATAATAGGTTAAGGACGTCTTTTGCAATTAATATGTGAAGGATTACAGTTAAGCATTCAAACTGTATAAATTATTTAACCAGGCTCCTAAAGATGATCATTTAATTTGTTTTAAATTCCAATGCTGCAAATGTTAATGATTGGTGAATCTAGTTGAAAGGTATATAAGTGTTCAGTGTATTATCCTTTCAACTTTTCTGTAGGCTTACAATTTTTCAAAATAAAAACTTGAGGAAAAGTTACAGTATAGCACTGATCATGTATTCATCTACTCTAATTATCCTCTCAGAAAAAAGTCCTACATGTGGAACTTCTAGGTTGATAGACTTTTACCAAACACCTTCTAAAAAGTTTGTCCCAATCTATCTATACTCCTATAATAATGAATGGAAATGTCCATCTTTTTTCCTATCGACACTGGGAATTTTCAACTATCTGAAAGTTCAAATTATCTTGATTTTATTTGCCTTTTAAAAAGTTGCTGTTGATCTTGAGTATCTTGGTTGGCTTTTTAAAAAAATGATTTGTCTGTTCATGTTCTTTGCTCATTTTTCTATTGATAATCATCATTCTTACTGATCCGCAAAAGCCCTTTGTATATTAAGCCTCTGTCATATGTTATAAGCATTCTTCTCTTAGATTATTGATCATCTTTCAACCTTATTGTGATTTTTGCCATTTAACTTTAAAAAATTATGAGGTCAAATTTTATCAATTTATTTATATTTTTGGTTTTGATATCATGCCGAGAAAGTTTTCCCCAGTACTAAAATTTCAGTTTTTTTTTTTTTTTTTACATTTATCTCTTTGATCCAGATAGGATTTTGGTATAAAAATGAGCAGAGATCCTGCTTTAAGATAATCAGCTGTACCAATATGATTTATTAAATAAAGTTTATTTCTTCACTGACTATAATACAACTTTCAGTATGTAATATAGTCCCATGTCTACAACTGGGTTTATTTCTGGTCCCTTTTTTCTGTTGTATGAATTATATATTTTTGAGCCAGTAATATACTGTTTTATTCTCTATAACTTTAGATTATATTTTAATATATGGTAAAATAGACACTCCTATTACTTCCCTCATTGTTTTCTTGAATTATCTTATATTGTTATTCTTTCAGATGTATGAATTACAACAAAAATTAAATTTAAAACCTTTTGCCAGTAGCATCTCTGCCATTTTTGTTTTGTCTTTAGGCTAGCGATAGGTAAAGTGTACAAATCTCACCAACCTAAGTAATTTCAATACGGTTATTTTAAGGTAGTTATAAACCTTTTTACCTTCCGTTGATCAAGTTGTGTGTTATGAAGTAGTACTGCAGTCATATTTGGATATAATTTTACCATTACTCCACTGTCTCTACAAAAAGGAAATAAAAAGCCTGGTTAAAACAGTAAGTACCTGTATATCAACTGATAGATAAAACTGATTATGTTTTCATAGGAGAAAAAAGTAAAAAAAAGAAAAAAAAAATCAACTCTAGTGTATGTTTTTAAATATAAAAAGTGTAATTACCTAAAACAGGTACTTACTTTTCCATTGAAAATACACCCTATGTTTACATACTTGTGAATCAAAGGACAAAAGAAAGAAAAAATGTGCAGTAAAAAAGCTTTTAGAATATATATTCTTGTTCTATATTTCTCTTCATAATTTCTAAACATTTTTGAAATGACATTAAATATTTTAAAATAGTGCAGAATATCATTAACATATTAGGTAGTGATTTACAGAAGGTGGTTAGGTAAACTGAGATACTTATTTCATTAAAAAGCTTCTTGGCCTTTTTTTCTCTAATCTACTAAAATAAGCCATCCCATTTCTTTTTACCTGCAATATTAAACAAATTATCCCATTGTCTTTTATTATTCATTTCAAGTAGCTTTGAGCATTCTTGCTGCATCAGAAAATCTCCTTTTTTTCTTCAGGGGATTTTCTGATCTTCAAAGTATAATCTTTTTAGTTGGTAAAAAAAAAAAAAAAATGCTTCCGGGTTGAAAATGGCATTTAAAAATATGTGCTAATTAAGCATTAAGTAGTATTACTATCTTTCGAACAAGCCACCAAAGCTAGGCATGGTAGTGTGTGTCTGAGCCTGGGAATTCTAGTCAAACCTGGGCAACATAGTGAGACCACATCTATAATGATAATAATAATAAACAAACATATTTTAAAAAAGGAAATATTGCTAAGTCTATCTTAGGCCTGTTTATTGATTGTTTATTGGGAAATTTTTTTTTTTTTTTTTTTTTGAGACAGAATGTCACTCTGTTGCCCTGGCTAGAGTGAGTGCTGTGGCGTTAGCCTAGCTCACAGCAACCTCAAACTCCTGGGCTCAAGCGATCCTACTGCTTCAGCCTTCCAAGTAGCTGGGACTACAGGCATGCGCCACCATCCTCGGCTAATTTTTTCTATATATTTTTAGTTGTCCGATTAATTTCTTTCTATTTTTAGTAGAGACGGGGTCTCGCTCTTGCTCAGGCTGGTCTCGAATTCCTGAGCTCAAATAATCCGCCTGCCTCGGCCTCCCAGAGTGCTAGGATTACAGGCGTGAGCCACCGCGCCCGGCCTGGGAAAATTAAAATAGTAGAAAATTTGGTTAAAGAAAACAATTTGTCTTCCCCTCCATAGTATAATTAAAAAAAAAACACAATTTAGTTACAAGAATTTATTATAATTATAACCACAGAAACATGTTACTGAAAATCTACAAACTGGTATAAAAAATAAAATATACCTTAAAAAATAATATATAATTATTATTATATGGTAACTGACATATAATCTAAATAGCTTATAATTTCAAAGTAAATAAAACAAATGTGAAATTAACCTGGGCTTATAATATAAATCTTTTAAAAACCAACATAGAATATTACTTGATATTACCTGATTTCAGTTATTGTGGCGGTATACACTGCTCCAAATTCTAATTGCTGCTCCTGCTGTAAGTACAAAATAAGCCATAAGATTCATAAAACAGCAACAAAAAGTAGAAAAAGCAACTATTATAGGGTCTATACTTACATCATCTTTGCAGATTTCAGTAATGAAGTCTCTTGCCTCATGCATAGCACCAGGGGTTGGTGCAAATATAGAATATGTTTCTTCATCCACCTGACTAATAGTTACACCTTTTAAGGAGATAATTTAACATATTAAAGTTAACTTGCTCATTCCAGTGGAGACTAGTCTTAAAAGCAGATGTGAGAACACCTGGAAGCAGCTGGGCAGAGCTATGCCATGTTTAGTCATTGATTTAGGAATGAAGAGATTCATTCACCAACAGACATACACTAAACACTTGCTATGTATCTGGCATTGCATTGGGCCCTGGGGATATAATAGTGAACCAACATCCTTGCTTTCTTGGAGCCTACCGTCTGGTGGGATCAAATATATCAGTACTAGTTTTGAAGGGTCTCGTTTTGCTCTCTTAATTATGAGTAGAAACTATACGAGAACCCTCTCTTCACCCTTTTCTCTTTTTCCCTCTTACCCCTTGGATGAGGGATGAAATCATGTCAGTTTCTCAGTCTTAGAAACTAGCTAAAGTGACTCTGCTTCTCACCTTCCTTAAATAGCCTCAAAGCTGGTAAGTATTAATACTAGGTAACCCAAACACTACTTCCAGAAAAAATAAATTAAAGCACGCTATTTCTACATATACTCTGTAAATAAGAGTCTAAATAAAATTAAGTGAAAGTAGCAGAAGTAATAGTAAGAAACAATTAGAGCATAACTCCTCTAACATGAAAAACTAAAAATTATTCTAGATGTTCAATTTTTAAATGTTACGAAAAAACCCAAAAACCAAAAATCAAATTAAAAAAACCCTTGATGAATTCTTGGTCATCCTTCCTGAATACAGTTAAGGACCATCATTTGCTGATTTATTAAGAGGCACACAGAAAACTCACAGTCCAGACATGTCACACCTTTTTCTCCTGGTCTTTCTCTCATTTCTGAAATATGAGGTCTGTCCGGAAAGTATCCAGGCATTGTTAATATAATGAGAACAACGGCTAGATATTTTCCAGACAGACCTCATGTGCGTGTGCGTGCGCGCGCGCGCGTGTGTGTATTTAAAGCAACACAGCAGAGATGAAAGAGCAAACTTATATGATCCAGAATTTTTTTATTTTTTTAAGAGACAGGGTCTTGTTCTGTCACCCTGTGGTGTGATCACAGCTCGGTGAAATCTCAAACTCTTGGGCTCAAATAATCCTCCTGCCTCAGCCTCCCAAGTAGCTAGGTCTATAGGCATGTACCACCACACCCAGCTTACTAAAAAAAAAAATTTTTTTTTTCGAGGTTCGGTCTCTCTGTTTTGCCCAGGTTGGTCTCAAACTCCTAGCCTCAAGCAATCCTCCCACCTTGGCCTCCCAAAGTGCTGGGATTATAGCCATGAGCCCCTGTGCCTGGCCTGATCCAGCATTTAATGAAAAACCTTAAACTTCATACAACTCTTACCTGTTTCAGCCTGAAGTTTTTTTAGATGATATCCACCTGGTCCAACAAATTTTGCTCGTTTTGATAATGGGACCTGAACAGTTTCTGAAATATAATACAGACAAATATTTAAACAATTCAAACCTCAACCATGTCCTGATCACTCAGGATTTTTTTTTTCCCTAGACACATGTAAAAATATTTCAGTATAAAATAGAAAAAAGTTTGTTACTTGAATGACAGAAAAATGTCCAAGAATATCCCCCAAATTTAAAGTATTTTAACTATAAAAGTATTTAGAATATTTTTATTTTGCATATGGGGTAAAAACATTTAAAAACAGTAAAATACATTCATATATTTATGTTTACCTTTCTATGATCAGTAATAATTTTAATGTATTACCTACAACAGGTCCATTTTCTTTTCTAGATGCTCGAGGTTTTGAAATAGTTTTATTCATTATCTGTAATATCTCCTTCTTTGCCACTAGAAGAGATAAAAACATAATCAAAGTTATAACTACAGAAAATAAATGTGATCTGAAATAGATGCATGCTTAGTTTTTAAGGAGTAAAATCCAAACTTTTTTTAGCTTAATAATCAAAGCTCTCCACAACCCAATTACCTTGAAAATTCACTCCTACTTTCTTTTTCCGTAAGTCCTATCTTAAGAGAGTTAATTAATTTATAAAAACTGAAATTTCACTGGTCATCTATTTTGGTGGTTAGTCATGTGCCCAATAAGTTAACACTTTGCAATCTAAGTTAAGTTATATGAAATTCTATTTTTTAAAGCACTATTTTATAATAAGCCTAATGGGAATTATAGAAAATAATGAAAGAGAATCAGGCACACTGTCTTACCTGAAGCTTGCTGAATGGCCTCCATTACAATTTTTATTGGTATTCCAGGTAATTTAATATCAGCCTAACATAAAAAAGTCAAAATATTATATAAGTATTTGTTTATTACATAATTTAAATACTACAAAAGTAAAAAAAAAATGGGTTTTAAAAAATACCTGTAATGCAGTTATTCCCTTATTAGTGCCGGCTATTTTGAAATCCATGTCACCATTGTAATCTTCAATTCCCTTCAGAAATTTAAGAAATTATAATACAGTTTTAAACAAAAATAAAATTCACCCATACTCAATACAGAAGAATTTCAAAAAATAGCTTTAGAAGTAAACCATATCCTCTAAGACCAAATACAAAGAAATATCTCCTACATTAACTATTGCTTCCAATTTGTGACTTTTTAAGCTACAGATATTTTCACTAGAAATGTCACTTTATTTTTAGGTTACATGTACCTCTCTGTAAATGCATAAAGATTAATTTACAATTATCCTAAACCGAGCCATTATGGATATTTATACTGTAATACATATTTTAAAGTCACATCCTATAAAGTCCGATGCAAAGATGCAGAGGAGGAAAGTAAGAACAAGTACCTCTATTCCTTGAGTACTAGCATTCTTCTAAGCACATGATACCTGTAAAGTACGTACAGTCTTCACCATCAAATATTTAAAACTGGGAATATACTTGCCAAAATATCGGTCAGCAAACGATAATCTTCTATTTCACCCTTCTCAGGATCATTTTTGGTGACCAATCCTATTGCTACACCTGCGACAGCAGATGAAATTGGAACTCCTATAATTGGAAAAAAGTACTTTCATATGTAATGTGTATACCAACCCAACACACATATTTGTCATTCTGTTGACATTTAATGTATGTGGATGATGTTCTGTGAATTGACAGTCACCAAAGCTGAGTTGGAAAGGTCTTAAGAGGTCATCTGACTACCTCATTTCTTTTTGAGCATATAGTAAATAAAGCTACTTAAATGAACTTTAATAGGTAATCACTATATTCAGCAAAAACCTCTAGAATAATAGCAAACTTCATAACTCTTAAATTATCTGCTGCTGGCCAGGTGCGGTGGCTCACGCCTGTAATCCTAGCTCTCTGGGAGGCCGAGGCGGGTGGATTGTTTGAGCTCAGGAGTTCGAAACCAGCCTGAGCAAGAGCGAGACCCCGTCTCTACTAAAAATAGAAAGAAATTAATTGGACAACTAAAAATATATAAAAAAAACTAGCCGGGCATGGTGGCGCATGCCTATAGTCCCAGCTACTCGGGAGGCTGAGGCAGGAGGATCGCATGAGCCCAGGCGTTTGAGGTTGCTGTGAGCTAAGATGACGCCACGGCACTCTAGCCCGGGCAACACAGTGAGACTCTGTCTCAAAAAAAAAAAAAAAAAAGATTATCTGCTGCTTTGCTTTTGATGCCTTCTTTTTTTTCCTCTTGTTGAAAAGTTACAAAGTGTTTGGTAAATTCTTCCACCCTGAACCCCAGTCCATCTTTAATGTATTCTTCCAGAAAATTTCTGTGCACAAGTATAAATGTAAACATAATCTTCTCTTTACTCATGGCAGCATACCACATCCATTAACTATTCTGTACCTTGCCTTTTTCACTTGATAACATATTTAGGATATTGACACATGTCACCACACAAAGCTCTACCTCATTCTTTTGAATTGTTACATAGTTCTCCCCATATATATGTTTTGGTTTTAATTTTATATTTTTAAATGACAAATAATAAATTGTACATATTCATGGGGTACACAGTGATGTTTCAATACATATAATGTAGTGATCAGATTAGATAATTAGCATATCCATCCTCTCAAACATCATTTCTCTGTGTTGGGAAGAGATGACATCCTCTTTCTAGCTATTTGCAACTATGTATTATTGTTAACTATAGTCATCCTAGGGTGGTATAGAACACTAGAACTTAAACTCCTCCAATCTAGCTGTAATTTTGTATCCTTTAAAAATCTCTCCCTTCTTCCTAGCCTTCCCAGACTTTAGTATCCTCTGTTCTACTTTTTACTTCTATGAGATTATTTTTTAGCTTCCACATACGAGTGAGAACATGCAGTGTTTAATTTCTGTTCCTGGCTTATTTCACTTAACATAACATCCTCCAGTTCCATCCATGTTGCCACAATGACAAGATTTCCTTCTTCTTTATGGCTGAATAATATTCCTTGGTGTATACCTACTACATTTTCTTTATCCACTCATCTGTTGTTGGACACCTAGGTTGATTCCACATGTGGGCTACTATTGTGAATAGTGCTGCAAATGAACATGGGAGTACAGATGTCTCTTCAATATAATGATTTCCCTTCCTCTGGATAAACTCCCAATGGTGGGATTGCTGGATCATAGGGCAGTTTTATTTGTAGTTTTTTGAGGGACATCTATAATGTTCTCCATAGTGGCTGTACTAGTTTGCATTCCCACTGTTTGTGGGATTTCCCTTTTGTCTGCATCCTTGCCAGCATTTGTTATTTTAGGGCTTTTTGATAATAGCCATCTTCACCGGGGTGAGATGATACCTTATTGTGGATTTGATTTGACTTTTCCTGATGAGTACTGATGTTGAGCATTCCTTCATATATTTGTTGGCCATCTGAATGTTTTCTTTTTAGAAACTTCTGTTTAGATCATTTGCTCATATTTTAATTGTTTTTTTTTTTTTTTGGCTGCTGAGATGTTTGAGTTCCTCATATAAATCTCCTGTTAGATGGGTAGTTGGCGAATATTTTCTCCCATTCTGTAGGTTGTCTTTTCACTCTGTTGATTGCTTGCTGTGCAAAAACTTTTTAGTTTGATATAATCCCATTTTTTTTTTTTTTTTTTACTTTTGTTGACTATGCTTTTGAGGTCTTATTCATATTATATTTTCCCAGACCAATTTCCTAAAGTGTTTTCCCTATGTTTCCCTCTAGTAGTTTTATCGTTTCAGGTTTTACATTTAGGTGTTCAATACATTTTGAGTTGATTTTTATATAGGGTGAGGTGGGGGTCTAGTTTCATTCTTCAGCATGTGGATATCCAGTTTTCCCAGCATCATTTATTAAACAGACTGTCCTTTCCCCAATGAGTGTTCTTGGCACTTTTTTCAAAAATCAGTTGACTGTAGATAATATGGATCAATTTCTGGGTTCTCTATTCTGTTCCATTGGTCTATCTGTCTATTTTTATGCCGGTACCATGCTGTTCTGGTTACAATAGCTTTGTAATATATTTTGAGGTCTGGTAGTATGATATCTCCAGCTTTGCTTTTTGCTCAGGATTGCTTTGGCTATTCAGGGTCTTTTGTGGTTCACACGAATTCTAGGATTTTTCCTTTCTTTCTTTTTTTGGAGAGACAGTCTTGCTGTGTCACCCCAGCTAGAGTGCAGTAGCGTCATCATAGCTCTCTGCAACCTCAAACTCCTGGGTTCAAACTATCCTCTGGCCTTAGCCTCCCAAGTAGCTGGAACTACAGGTGTGTGTCACCATGCTCGGCTAATATTTTTCTGTTTTTAGTAGAGACAGGGTCTCACTCTTGCTCAGACTGGTCTCAAACTCTTGACCTCAAACGATCCTCCTGCCTTGGCCTCCCAGAGTGGTAGGATTACAGGCATGAGCCACTGTGCCTGGGCTCTTTTTCTATTTCTATGAACAATGTTATTGGTATTTTGATAGGGATTGCATCAAATCTGTAGATTGCTTTGGGCAGTATTGTCATTTTAACAATAATAATTGTTTTGATCCACAAGTATGGGATGTCTTTCCATTTGTTTGTATCCTCTTAAATTTCTTTCATCAGTGTTTTGTAGTTTTCCTTATAGAGGTCTTTTACCTCCTTGGTTAAATTTATTCCTTGGTATTTTATTTTCTTTGTAGCTATTGTAAATGAGATTGAGTTCTTGATTTCTTTTTCAGCTAGTTTGCCGTTAGTGTATAAAAATACTGATTTTTGTATATTAATTTTGTGTCCTGCAACTTTACTGAATTTATCCATTCTTAAAGAGTTTTTTGTGGTCTTTAGGTTTTTCTATGTATAAGGAGGTCATGATATCTACAAACAGGCATGGTTTGACTTCCTCCTTTCCAAGTTGGATACCCTTTATTTCTTTGTCTTGCCTAACTGCTCTACCTAGGATTTCCAGTTCTGTGTTGGATAAGAGAGGTGAGAGTGGGCATCCTTGTCTTGTTCCAGTTCTTAGAGTAAACTGTCAGCTTTTCCCCATTCAGTAAGATGTTAGCTGTGACTCCCTGTATATTTTTATCAGCCACACATAGAAGCGGGATTGCTAAGTCAAAAAGTATTTGTATTTGTTACACTGTCAAAACTGCCTTCCAAAGACAGCATTTTAAACTTTTACCAGCAGTGTATGTAGGTGCATGGTATTCTATATTCTTGTTAAACCTTTTGATCTTTGCCAATCTAAAGGGTTATTTAGATTATTTTTAATTTATTTTTTATGAGAGGTTGAATATATTTTTATGTTTATAAACATATTTATTATTATTTCTTTTTTTGAGAACTGCCTGTTCATGGGATTCAAACATTTTTCTGCTTAGTTGGTAGACTTTTCTTTATTTTCTTTCAGCATGGACAGTAGATTTTTATTAAAAAATATAAATATATTAAATAAAATGCAAATATATTATTTTTTTGTTGGCTTTGTTTATGGTGATTTTTTTCTGTGCAGAATTGTTAAAGTTTATACAATCATGGTTCCTGGATTTTGCTTAGAAAGATTTTTCTTCTCCAAGATTTTGATACAATCTTCCATGTTTCATTTTTTTAAAAAAATGTTTAAGTTTTGATCACTTGGAACTTATTTTGGTATAAAGGAGTGTGCTAAGGAACTCACTTCATCTCTCTAAGTAATCTGACCTGCACTTATGATTTTAACTACCACTTACATTGTCGATAACTTAAAAATCTATCCCTTCTGCCTCGTTCTTTCTGCCAAGCCCTGGATCTGTGTAACCAAACTGCCTGTCAGACATCACCAGCTAAAAGTTTCCAAAGCATCTAAATATATATATTCAAAACTGAATTACCCCCGATAAATAATTTTCCTCCTGTATTCTCTGTCTTGTTTAAAAGCAACTAAGACACATCAGAATCAACACTTTTTTCTTCATTTCTTATATCCTTGCAAGTTATAAAGACCTGTTTACTTTAGCCTCTAAATTTTTTAGAAAGTTGTCCTTTCCTCTAAATACTGAAATACCTATTGCTACTCCTTTAGTCCAAGTCCACATCATTTCTTGCCCTGGCAACAATCTCCCTTTCTTGCTTCCCAGATTTTAGTCTCTCCCTTCACCTCCTAGTCTCTCCCACCTCATTGTCCAGGGCCATCCATCTTCTAAGCTAGGAAACGCTATCTCAAAAAAACCTACGATATGAAATCATGCTACTACTTTACATAAAATCCTTCAAGTTCCCCATTATATGCTTTCAGGAAATTTTTGTACATATTCTTTGGTCAAAAAAGTTTGGGAAATATTACATACCCCAGTCCTAGAAATTTGATACTCTCATTACCATATTAAAATCTATTCAATCCATATTAAATAAACCTGTTTAACCCTGCTCAAGCTTCCTTTAGAACAGAATAATTTTTTTCATGGTATATAACCACACCCTGTGGAACACTATTCCATGGAATACTGAGTTAGAAAAATCCTAGCCTTAAGTCTAAACTCCTTAGCATAACAATAACCTTCAAAATCTACTTCTAATTTATTACTTTAACACTTCTTTCAAATATATTCCAGAAACACCCTATACTGCTTCATAACTTATCTTTGCACATGCTGTTCCTTTCATATGACATACAGGTCCTGTTCCTAATATGCCTGTCAACAACTACTCAACCTTTAAACCAGATGAGATGTAGTAGTCTCTGAGCAAATTACCCTCAACCTAGTTCATCAATCACCCTATAGGCCTTGTACATATTTTTATTATTACCTCTTTGATCCATTAGTATCTTCTAATGTTTATTTGTGAAACTTTATGTTTTAAAAAATGGGTACATTTGTATCCTTGGGGCATAGGATAGTGCCTGACTTAGGGCATGGGAAGTACTCGTATGTTTGAATTGAACTGCATACCCTTTGTTGGCTCTTCCCACAGACCTGATATTCATTCTTACCAAATTTAATATTTTTATGTTTTTGTGACTCTCCAGATTAAATTTTTTTGTATTTGGCTCCATTTTTTTTTGACAGTGTCTTGCTCTGTGGCCCTGGGTAGAGTGCGGCGGTGTCATCGAAGCTCACTGTAACCTCCAACTCCTGGGCTCAAGTGATCCTCGTGCCTCAGCCTCCTGAATAGCTGGGACTTGGGCAGGTGCACACCACAACGCCTGGGTAATTTTTCTATTTTTAGTAGAGATGTGGTCTCGCTCTTGCTCAGGTTGGTCTTGAACTTCTGAGCTCAAGGGATCCTCCCACCTCAGCCTCCCAGAGTGTTAGGATTACAGGTGTGAGCCACCATGCCTGGCCTGGCTCCATATTTTTTAAATCCTACTCAATTTTGTCATTTAACAAATCAGTCACCCATTCCTTTTTATCAGTATCCTTTTTATTGGCAGGCCCATGTTCTCAATAACAAAATCAATGAAAGGGAGAGTTGAGGATCCTCAGTCTTGAGCATCCTCAAGTCTTCCTCTTGAGACGCCTCTTCTACTTGCTGATTAGATTAACCAGCCCCCTTTGCTCATCCTTCAACCAGTTACAGATGGTGAGCCTAACATCTAGTCTAAGTTTCTGCAACATTTACACAAAGATATCATAAACTGTCAAGCTAAACTCTAGATACACTGCATCAATAGCATCGTCCCCTCACTTCAAATCTAGTAATTTTTTTCAAAAACAGAAAATGAGTTTACTAGGACATGACTTATTTCTGGGGATCCCTCTGGCTCCTCTCTGTAGCCCCTTTCCTTTCTAAAATACTTATAAACAAAATTTTAAAATAAGCTATTAAAAATCTTGTCAAAGGTCACTGTCAAGTTCACTGGGTTATACTTTACAGAAAATCCTTTTTTCTCTTCCAATAATACCCTTTCTGTTCCTGGTATACTAGTCTCTAATTTCTCAAAGACTGTGATCATGGTTTAGTAATCTCATCCTGAAGTTCTCATCATTACCTAGGATAGACTTTTGTCTAGACCAAAAGACCCAAATTCATTAAAAACAGTTAAAGATTTTCTTAAGAGATCTTCTTTTATTTTACCTTTCAGTTCATCTTTTTCAGAATTTGTTTAGTGTTTTCCATTATGAGATTTGGAAGACTGAGAAATGCAAGCTCCATGAGGACAAGGACTGCTTTGTTCATCACCATGTCCCAAGAGGTTAGATCAGTGCTTGGGCACACGGGTGTCACAAAGATTTGTTAAATGAATGCGTGAAAATGAAAATAGTAGCAGTATTTTACTAGCTATGTTAAATATCAGATTATGTTTCTTCCACTAAACACGACTAGAAAAGTGCCTTTAGCATTTTTTTGTTTTGGCTTGTTCTATTGTTTTATTAATATTTTTTCTACATATTATTATATACCCATACTATTTTCTTCATTTTATCCTTGGTTATGTCTTCCTTCCCATCTTGCATATCTGTATTGTAAATGTGTGAATTTATTAGAGAACTGGGGCATCCTCTTTAGTATCTTTAGCTTCCTTCTCCCTTAATTCTCAAATAGCATCATTGCTGACTGGCAGAAATTGGTTTTCAGAACCTCCTAGATGCTAACTCTTTCTTTCTCTTTAGGTGTTTCAGATCCAGGGATTATATTGAACTAGTGTAGTCTGCTTTCCTAAAATTCTATGTATACTTCTGAGTGGCACGGTTCTTCTCATGGCTTATATATAAGTCGACTGGAAGATTACATAGTTACTTTCCCTTATGGGTAGTAAAACTGCTTATTAATCAAAACTTCCTTGGTAATTGAAATCAATTCTGGAGCCCTCTACCTTTCGGGAGGTGAGAAAGTTCACTGGATCACCAAGGCAAGTCAATAATTTTCAGTGTACTGGCTTTTAGCTAAAAATAAGAATTCCAGCAGATAGCTTGATATCTGAAGCTCTCTTTTGCAACTATCTTGCCTCTTGCCTAGTTTGGTTATCTGTAATTTGACTTCTAGTCTTACTAAAATCTGATTAATGAAATCTCATATTTTATACTAATCAGGTGTGTATAAAATGTTAGCAATTTTGAGACATAATTCTTTTACCTGCATCCATTAATGCTAAACTTCCACCACATGCAGATGCCATAGAAGATGACCCTATAAAAAGAAAAATACTTACTTTATATTATACTGATTTTTAAAATGTAGAAAATTATTCCTACTGGTTACTTCATAAATATTCAATAATCTTTTTTTTACTCCTTTTTAAAAGCACTTTAGGCAAGCTCTCCTAAGCCATAAACAAACCACAGAGTTGTATGATCTAATACCTTAGCCACATGTGGCTACTTATATTTAAGTCAGTTGAAATAAATTCAGTTTCTCAACTGGATAGCACAGATATAGTGGATTTCTATCATCACAAAAAGTTCTATTGGACAGTATTACTACAGAGATTCTGATTCTAAGAAGTAGCCCAAAAGTACTGGAATACTTCTTTTTTTGCTTAATCAGAAGTAATTAAAGATACAGGGCTCTGGCTCTCTCATTGAACTATAAGCCCATTAGTTTAGTCACATCCAGCAGAGAATAGAAAAGTCTTTAATTTAAACTCTGAGATTACTTTGATGTTTTTCCCTCAAAACCTGTGACCACGTGATCTATATCTAATACACTTTTAAGAACTCTGTGCCTTTTCTGCCTTTAAGTTGCTGCACTTTGCTTTGACCCAGGGACTAATTTTTTATTTAAATTTGACCTTTTAGCCCAGACTTGTTCTGTGATATCCACTTATTTTTTATGTGTGATACTGATACATGATAAGTATGTCCTACCTAACGATCACTCTATTTTGGCCCTTCCTCTCTCCAAGCCAGTCTTGCTCTGTGGTTTGTTTGTAAAATAAAGAAACAAATAACCCAAACTGAATCTATTATAACAGATAAATATGAGAAATACTTGTTTTATATTGCTTTCAAAACAACTCATTAGCTAAGAACAGAGATTCAGACAAGTATAAGATTAATTAAACATATCTTCTCCTGCAATAGGCTTATGCCCTGTAGTAACAAACATAATGTAACATTACTTTTGTAATTTTTTATTCTTCTCTCTAAAAGAGACAGGGTCTTGCTCTGTCACTCAGGCTGGAGTGCAGTGATATAATCATAACTCACTGAAGCCTTAAACTCTTGGGCTCAAGTGATCCTCCTGCCTCAGCCTCCTGAGTAGCTAGAACTACAAGCACGTGCCATATTTTTAAAAAATTTTTTGTAAAGACGGAGTCTCGCTATGTCACCCGGGCTGGTCTCAAACTCCTGGCGTCAAGCATTCTTCCTATACTGGCTTCACAAAGTCTTGGGATTACAGGCATGAGCCACTCTGCCTGGCTATTACCTTTGAAAAGTTAAGAATATAATCGGCAACCTGGTCATTTCTACTAGGAAAGAAATATTTCAATATCATACCATTTGACTCTAGGACTTCAGATGTAATTCTTATGGTGAAAGGAAAATCTTTGGGAATAACAGGATACAAAGCTTTCTCAGCAAGAGCGCCTAAATTAGAATAGAAAACAGTAAGCAAAAAATGTACCTAGTCTCTATAAGAACACCATATAAGTTCACAGACTTGTACTCACCATGCCCAAGTTCTCTTCTGTTTAAACCAGTGATTTTGCCAGTTTCATTTGTTGCATAAGGAGGAAACTTAAAAAAAAAAACACATACATACACAGCTGACATAAGAAGATGGCCAAGACGTATTGCCAAAATAAAAAACAAGTTATAAAACAGTAGAATACCAATTTTGCTTAAAAAAAAGTATGTTCATAAATATGCAGAAAATGTCTGGTGTAAATTTAAGATACATACCAAATTGCTAAAAGTAGCTATTTCTAGTGTGTAACTGAATTACGGGGTGGGAAGTGGATGGTTATGAGAATTTACACCATAAATTTCCAGAATGTTTAAATTATTAACAATAACAAAATATTATATTTTTGTAATAAGAAAAAACATACACATATTTATAAAGAAATACACATTGAGGAATCACAGGTCTTTTTTTCCATACCAAAGCCCACATTTTTATTTCATCGAATTGCAATTTAATTCATACTTGTACTTCATAGACTTGTCTCTCTTTGCCACCTCTTTCAGATATAAAACAAAAATACATGGACAGAGAATTGCATATTTTAAAGCCCTTCTCCAACAAAATGTAATGACAAAAATATATGAAGGAAACAAAGATCTTTTACATAAGGGTTTTATTTTAGCCAGAGGTTGCAAATCATTTTATTTGATGGAAATGTTATTTTAAAGGACTATGAATTAGTTGTGATCACTTAAGATTTGGGAGATTACCCATAAAAATCTGGAATTCCAGTTTAACAAAAATTTTTTAAAAAGAAGCAACAGAACATGAATCTGACCAAGGCTCTCGATCTAACAGTCAATTTGTAGGAAACGGGAGGACAGAGAAACATGCTAAACTGCATGTTTCTTCATGCTGCAATCACCAATACCCAGATTGTGTAGGACTCTACAGGTCAAATGGCTCTGGGGTTTCAACAGATAGACTATAAAGAAAAGAATGTAAAGGAAGAAAAATGTGTGGATTAAGAGACTTAAAGAAATATCAAATTAAAAAAAATGGACAAGACTAAACTGTAGTATCTAGAGCTGTACACTGGAAATACAAGGAAGTGATTACTATGAAACTTAGAAGAACATTAGTTACTTTTAGGGGAAGAAGAGGGTTGGGACTGGGATGAAAAACATGAAGGGGTTTCTGATGTGGCTGGCAAGGTTCCACTTCCTGACTTTGGTGGTGGTGACAAGGGTGTTTGCCTTATAAAAATCTCATTAAGCCATCCTTTGTTATATATGGTTTTCAGTACCTGTACTTTATTTTACAATAAAGAGGTTTTAAAAAATGGGATGATTTGGCAATAATGGCCCATATCCTTTTCCAGCTCCCTCCCCCATCCCCTCACCCAATAATCAGCTAAAGCTGCATTTTCCACAGCTGCCCTTTTTTAGATTGCCACATGCTTGCTCTCCAGCTCACGACAAAGAATGTACTTTAAACTCAATTATAATTCCTCTCTGGCTTCTGCAGCATCTGGGTATATCCAGAACAGGATATTTACAAGACCTGTATGAATCTCCATGTTCATGGATATTCTACAGCATACACTTTCTACATAAAACGTCATCTACTGGTTACAGCAGGTTCAACAAAACTGAAATGTTGGGATTCCAGGCAGCCAAGAAGAGTTAATCAAAAGTGAAGTGACTTGCTACTTTATATTAGCCTCCCATGCTGTATCCTTCAAATAATAAAATTAGAAGTACTATGTGTTGTATGTGGTCCCTTAGGATTAGTTGTGAATAAAGTCAATCATGAACTCAATTAAATATAATGACCTCATATAAAGTAACTGTAAATGTTACTTTATATGATCTTCCAATTAACTGAGTAAAAATATTACCATTTAAATGAGCTAACGGGAGGTGATTTGTCAGTTGAAGTATTTGAAAAGCTTCACTTTTGTTTGAAACACATGTATATAGACACTACTCTTTCTTGCCTAAAAAAACATTGTTTACTATACTTTAATCTTTATGTATGACTTAGGACAGGAAGATGTTGAGTGTAAAACTATTATTTATCTGTCTAAATCCCTTCTATATGCAATAAAATGATAGCCCCCAAATTAACCTTAACAGATATATGCTAACACTAGCACAGTAAAATGTTAATGGCATAATCCAGGTAGTAGGTATATGGTTATTTACTATAAAGTTCTTTCAACTTTACTGTACCCTAGAAATTTTTCAAAATGAAATGTTGGGGAAAAAATTCACCTTACCTCATAGTGCAGCATGAAATTTTTATCTTTTATCCCACTACAAACAAAAGGCATAATATTAAAAACGTTATATGGATACAAACAAATTTATTTCAATAAACTAAAAATGATTTCAGGAGATTTTTAAAAACAATTGGGCATTAATGAGAGTTGGTCTGAAACTAAAAACCAGAAGAAGCTGAAGGATGAATGAGATGGTATTTTTTTTCTGAGGCTTATGAATGAATTCTACACAGATTTAGGAAACCAATTTTCCTTCAAATACAAGCCCTTAAAAATCTAGATTTTAATACTAAGACAAAAACATATATAACTATTGAGAGAATCCTAAATGTTATAACCACATTAGTTAAATCTCAGAGTTACACTCTCTCTCCCAGTCAACATGTAAAGTGAAGATCAGTAACTGAAATGACATAGCTGAGAGCAATCAGAAGATCTGACAGGCAAAGTTCTTTTCAGAGTTTGAAAAGAGAATTGCTGTGAAAGTGTCTAGAAAAATGGAAAAAATTAAGGATGAGAAAAAACACAATTCCTAGAAGCAAGAAACCAGATTTACTTATGAAAAGACAGGCATATAAAAGGGTGTTAGCACAAATAGTGCTGTCCTTTGGGTGAAATTATAAGGGCATTTCTCTGTGAAGAGGATTCAGAAAAAGTCCTGGGGTGGGGCAGAATCTGCATAATCATAAACTGCAGCCTTGGAAAAAGAAATCCAAACACTAAGCTCCTTCAGGAGACTATAGGAATCAAAGATTTAGGGGACCAGAGAGGAAGATAGGCATCAATGGCCTGATACCTGCATTTTGTAAGAAATGGAAACCAAAGGCTGCATGGCTGGGTGATGTGTGCCTCCTAATTTACAGAAGTTACAGACCTAAGACTAGAATATGGAGGAACCCTGGCCAAACCCAGTGCTCTTTTTTATTGAATTGTGTTGCCTTCTAGAAAAGAAAGGAGTCAAAGTGAAGAACAGCAGAGCAACCAAGTTTTGGCCCAGACGAAACTATAGACAAAGTAGAAGAGCTTCCAAAAGAGAATTATTAAGATGAGCATTCCATCTTTACACACAGAGCTGCGCTGTCAGTTTTCTCAGACATATGAAAAACAATTAGGGTAGCTATCTAGAAGATACTGGGGATTATCACTAGTTGGGCAGTAGGAAAAGGGAGGTGGAGTCCTATGGTCTTCCGAGACCCTTAACCAGGGAAAGGGAAGCAGCCATATTAGGCACTGGGGAAAGAAAGAACTGGCTGTGAGTCTCAGGACTCTGATGTAGTAATGCTAGTGGGGATTGCAATACAGATCCTCATTATCAAAACTGATCACGTGACTTTATTGCTGACTTTTCTTTTTTTCTTTTGAGATAGAGTCTTGCTCTTTACCTGGGCTACAGTGCTGTGGCGTCAGCCTGGCTCAACAGCAACCTCAAACTCCTGGGCTCGAGCGACCCTCCTGTCTCAGCCTCCCGAGTAGATGGGACTATAGGCATGTGCCACCACGCCTGTCTAATTTTTTCTGTTTTTAGTTGCCCGGCAGATTTCTTTCTATTTTTAGTAGAGACAGGGTCTCGCTCTTGCTCAGGCTGGTCTCGAACTCCTGACCTCAAGTGATCCTCTTGCCTTAGCCTCCCAGAGTGCTAGGATTAGAGGCATGAGCCACTGCGCCCAGCCTGACTTTTCAGAAAGAAAGGGGAGGCAAGTATTTCTGAACACAAAATCACAATGTGGTTTGGGATTAGATAAGGTTTTTCATTAACAGCCTCCAGATTATTTTAGCAATGGAGACTTTCACCTATTTATTTGCTCTCATTTCTAAAGGAAAAACTTATCCATTCAAGATTACCCAGACAATCTGTCCTGAGAAATGATTCTAGAGACAAAGAAGAAACCAAATGTACTCACATTAAACAATTAAATGCTTTACGAATATTTGTTCCAAACCAATGATCTAGAAGACAATATAGCATATACCACACAAAAAATCCCTTGAAATCATGATTATATAAATAGAAAAAATTTGAGAACAAAAATACAGGTTAAAAAAAGTAATAATGACTAATAAGATACCACATGAACTTTAATTATATACCATAACATCATAAAACATAATATCAGAAAAACATAACTTACTTTATAGCTGTCATAATTTGATCTGACTTAATACTGGATTCTAATGAATCAAATGTAACAGTACAAAGCACCTAAAAATAGAAGAAAAAAAAAATCCTTGGGCTTTAAAATACTAACCACAAAATGAAAACTAAAAGTATTTGAAGAATCCAATTTGGTCTTAAAAAATGGGATAAATACATTCTACCCAAAGTTTCCCATGGTACTTAATACTGTAAATATTTATTCATTTTACAAATATTCAAGCTACATGTAAACTTCAATAATCTAAAGGTTTAACATCATACAAACTACATACATAAAGCACTGCACTAAGAGTTCTAGGGAAGAAAGACAGGAAGAGGAAGAAATACTATGTATTAGCCCATAGAGGAAGCCTCAATAAAGGTTCAGCCAATGAAACTGCCTGCTTAAAATTAAAAACAAAAACAAAAAACAATCCAAACTTCTTTAGAGAGATATAACATAATTAACACACTCTATAATGTATCATTCACAACATCCAGACTACAACCCAAAAATAAACAGGAAAAAGGCCTACTCTTTTTTTTTTTTTTTTTGAGACAGAGTCCTCACTCTGTTGCTTGGGCTAGAGTGCTGGAAGTGGGCCATCAGGAAGAAGGCCCACTCTTAAGAGAAAAGACAATGAAGACCAACCCTAAATTGATTAAGATGTTGGATTAACAGCAAAGATTTTTAACAGCTATAATTATATTATAATCATGGACATAAAAAATAATCAGTGGAAATTCTAGAACTAAAAAATTTATTATCTCACAATAGAAAGGAGATAAGTCAATCAACAAGAAGATGAATTGATAGAAATTGCCCAATTTGAAGAAGAGGGGAAAAGAACATAGTCTCAGGTACGTATGTGTGGGACAATATCAAAAAAACTAACATATGTGCACTTGCAATCCCTGAAGGAGAGAAGAGAGAGAATGAGGTAGGAAATATTTGAAGAAATAATGGCTGGAACTCTTGAAGTTTGATGAAAGACACAAATTTACAGATTCAGGCTCAGGAAACTTTAGCAGGATAAATCCAAAGAAAATCACACATTTCAAGTCATACACTGAAAACCAAAGATAAAGAACCAATCTTGAAAGTAACCACATGAAAACAATAAATAACATACAATAAACAATGATTTGAATATGTCTTTATACTTCTCATCAGAAAAAAAATGGAGAACAAAAAACAATGGAAAATCTTTAAATGCTTACCAAAAAAAAAAAAAAGCATCAACCCAGAACTCTCTACCCAGCAACAAGATTCTTTGTACATAAAGGCAAAATAAAGATATTTTAGATAAACAAAAATAAGAATTTGTTGTCAGAAGACCCACAGGACAATACTAAAGGAAGTCTTACCAGACTGAAGAGAAATGACACAGGATAGAAACTTGGATCTTCGCGAAGGAATAAGAAGCATTAGGAATGGTAAATATGTGGGTCAATATAAAAGACTTTTTCCTCCTCACTTCTTTAAAATAGATATGATTGTTCAAACTGAAAGTTATAACACTGCCTTGTGGGGTTTACATAAGACAACTACATAAAGGATGGAAGGAATGGACCTAAATGGTGCAAAATCATTTTATGTGATGTGGCATAAAATTAACTCTAAAAAGACTGTGAGAAGTTAAGGATGTACATTATAATTTCTATAGTAACCAATGAAAAATAATGCAGAGGTATAGCTAAAAAGCAAGTAAAAACAAAATTCTAAAAAATATTCAATTAATCCAAAAAGAAGGCAGAAAGTAAGAATAGAGAAACAAAACATAGAGGGACTAATGAAAAACAAATAATAAACAGAAGGATTTTTTGAGAACTTGATATAATATTAAAATTCCAATGAAGAAGCAAATGTACCTAAATTGTGAGATAATTCTGGGGAGAGGGGAAATAAATTGGGAGGATTTGCTTCTTAGACATTAAGATATATCCCAAAATCATAATAATTAAAAGTTTGACATTGGCCCAGGAAATTCACAAAACAGTAGAAGAGAATATAGTTAAAAAATGCATTATAAAATTTAACTATAAGGTGACATCACAAATTAGTGGGAAAAATAAATTATTGGTAAACGATGTAAAATTGGATCACTATGGAAGTTTTCCACTTTATACCACGTGTAGGAATAAATTGCAAGATACATTGATGATCTAAATTTGATAGCTAAAACTAGAAAGCTAATAAAAAGAAAAAGGAGGTACGTAATTTTGTGACTTTGAGGTAAGGAAGGATTTCTTAAATAAATCTTTAAAAATACAAACCACAAAAGTGAAAAGGGGAAGTCTTAACTATATCAAAACTAAAGATTTCAAATCTACTCTGGACATACAGTAGGCTACCACAGGCAAAGTTAAAAGGCAAACAACAAAGAGGTAGACATTTATATAAAGTCTGGTTTGTTACTGAAAAGGATCAATATTTAAAACATACAGGAAATTACTGCAAAATAGTAGCTAAAATACAGTAAATAAACCATATTAACAACAAAAAAAAATTGGCCAAAAGATGTGAACAGAAAATTCACAAAATAGCAAAACTATAGTAGGGCTACTGTACTGTAACACTCTAGGGGATACCATCTATGTGAAAATAGTACCTTAGAAGTGTTCAGTCCCCCAGGGCATGGTTTATACAGTGACCATGCTGATTAGCTACTATATAAAGAGATGTTCAGCCTTATTAGTAATCAGGGAAATACAAATTAAAACAAGATATCACTTTATACCTATCAGATTGGAGAATTTAAAGCAGTGATTAATGTAATAAAAAGAAAGTATAAAGTATAATACCATAAACAATAGATAAACATATAGGTAAATAAATGAACAGAAGGTGAACTAGAAGAATATATGTTAAATATAAAAGAGTGGGTGCCTATGTAAAGAAAAAGAATAAGACTGAGTTACAGGCTAAACAGAGAAAACAAATGAGGGCCTTGAATGGACCAACAATAACAATATGCCATAAACTGAGGAATATGAGTGACTCAAGTTTGTACACCTAATATTAAAAGAAAACTACAATAAAAATATCAGATAATTTTAGAAAATGCAAACTAATTTATAGAGACAAAAGCAGATCAGTAGTTGCCTGGAGGAAGAAGGGAGCAAGAAGAAGGTATTACAAAGAGGCATGAGGACGCTTTTGGGGGTGATTGGTATATTTATTATCTTGACTGTGGTAACAGTTTCCCTGTTGTATACATGTGAAAACTTATCAAATCATACATTTTAAACAAGTGCAGTTTATTGTATGGCAATTTCACCTCAAAAAAACTGTTACATTATATTTAAAAAAAAAACAGATACTGATCTAAATAAATAATGCATATCATATGATAAAAACTCATAGCATCTACATAATATATTGCTATTAGATCTAATGGAACAATCTTAATTCAGAAAATAATTGTAACTTTTTACATATATTACCTGTGTTTGTCCCCTTTGAAATAATGCTGATCCATGAAGAATTTTAAACATATCTACCTCACAACTTATATTCCTAAGTGACGTCATATCTCGACCATCACACCTGTAAGTAATAAAGAAAATAAGTACGTAAAGCTGTGCTGGAAATCAGAAAAATCACATCATTTCTTTATCTCAAAGTTCTCATCCCCAGTTGCATATCATAATTCCCTGCGGAACTTTAAAACATTACACAGATACGTGGGTACCACTTGAAGTCCCACTGAATCAGAATTTATGTGGAGTTGTGACCTGTATACCTGTGTTATTAAAAAGCTCTACAGGTAATCCTGATGTGCAGTCAGACTACGAAGAACTGCTCTACACACTAGGCCAAGAAAGATGGTCACACATCCACATAAGCCACATACTCTTTCTTTAATAGGTGCCCATTCATAAAACAAATATCATAATTCTTTACTGTTCACTTGAAAAAAGCCAGTTTTTGAGTAAGTTCCCACTTGCAGAGACAGCAAATGCTTCAATCCCATCAAAAAAGGTTATATTTACCTTTTGTATTCATTCAGAATAATACTTCTAAAAACCTCCTTTGCAACAACGTTGAAGGATTCTATTATTTCATATGGATCGACCTCTGTAAATTTTTCTATAGAAAAAAGACAAACCAAAACAAAGGTTTTCTCTTTTTAGAAGATAGAGTTTCTCTAAAGTTCACAGCCTAAAATCAATTAATTATAGGAATAAACCAAGGGAGTTGACTCTGAACATTTAGTTCTCAGGTAAACAAAGTAGATAAGTCAAACGTTATCAAGCAAGTGAGAAACACCAAGTGCCTCAAATGTGTTCTTGGGAACTTGGTTTGCTTTCTACCAGAACAACGGTGTTTTGAAATCAGCTCCTTCTTGTATTATGTTACCTGACAAACCCAGCCAAGCTTTATGAAAAGGTCTGACAGTTTTAAGAGTAGTTGTCCTCACTCTTTTGCCTTAGGAATCTTTATCTTACTCTGCAAATTGGGGAACAATTTTTTTATATATTACAAT